CCCTCAGCGGGAGCCGCCATCTTCCCAACCCCCCCAACCTCCGCTCGCGCTCTTAAAGGGGCCGCGACCCCCGCGCTGAGGGGGCGGCGGGTTTGGGGTTTGTTCCCGGCTCGCGATCCCGGTTCCCGAGTGGAAAGAACCGTGACCGCGGTTCCCTCCGGTCACCACAGAGCGTGTAGGAGCGGGATTGGACCCGACCGGTGCGTGTGTGGGCCGAGGCGCGGCCCGCCCTCCCTCCTCATAGGGCTGCCCCTGACGCCTTCGAGTATCCTCGGCTTGTTATTAATTATCTATAATCATTAATTATCTATAACCACTCATTATCTATAGGCATTAATTTCTTCCTTTCCCCCCCCCACAATTCGGCGGTGAGCTTTATAGGCGTAATATTTGCTGGTTCTGGTCGGCTGCTGAGGGTAACGTGGGGTCTCACCATCCACAGCCAACAGGTTTAAAATCGCATAGCAAATATCAAATATCGAATCAATATCTGGGTTTATTTCCCCAGGGGAGCTCTGGCTTCTCAGTTTCAGGCTTCTCGTTGCAACACACCTAAAAATCGAAATTGGAAATGCTGTATTTTGCTTCTAAGCCTTGGAATAAGAACCAGCTCCTGTTTAAAAGTAGCCTGGATGTTACGGGATATCTATATAATTTGTGTTGTTCAGGGAATTGTTGGGCTCCTCTGTGGGTAAATCTTAAAATGCACCCCAAAAAAATAAATAAATAGTGACACTGGTTATTATGTCTGGAAATCTGGGGAGGAAAATTAATTGCCCTGGAGTTAATCAGATTCTTCAGTTTGAGTCTGGTGGACCTGCTAAGGTCAGCTCTGAGAATTAGGCTTTTAAATGGGGGTTTGATGCAATTGTTTGGGTTTTTTCGTGTTTTTTTTTTTTTATTAAAAAGAACTGTAAGAAAAGGAACACAGGAGAACCTCTGCATTTGTGTGATGGCCAGATTTGCCAAGAACTCGCTTCTGGGGCTGAAGGTTTAAATCTAATCCTTGTCCTAAGAGAAAAGTAGACTTTTTTTCCCCTGTAAGTCATTTTTTGGAGGCAGTGGTGTTGCAGGTGGCTGTGTAATGCACAGTGGGCTGAGCTGTAAAATTCAGGAGCAGTCACCTGAAATATGAAAGTTTAATTCACTTTGCAGCTGTATTTTGTTATCTGTGGACAGATGGAATGCTCAGCACACACAGTAAGGAGGGAGAAACATGATTATGCCCAGGAAAGCCCAAAGTCCACAATTTCCATAAGGAATGTTATCCCTTGGCTTCCGTGGCTGAACACACTCGTGGGGCGGGTGCTGTGGGATTGAACTCCCACCTTCTCCCACCTCCCAGCTGGGACAGAAACAACTGAAATTCTGTGTGTTGAGGACTCATTTGGAATAGCTGAGCCTGTGGCTGAGTGTTCCCAAGGTGCTCTCAGGGGGGAGAGGCTGAACTGAGAGGAATTCTCCCTGTTCTCCACAGCGTCAGCAGGTTGAGTCACTCCAGGACGTGGCCATGTTTTCCACCCCCAGGAAGTGAGGGAGAGTTGGATCCCAGGGCCATGGCAGCAGATGAGAGGGATTACAACCTGACAGAGGAGCAGAAGGCTGTCAAGGCCAAATACCCTCCACTCTGTAAGAAATATGAATGTGAGTATTTACAGTAATACAAATTTTCTACGTATTTTGTGTGTTTTATGATATATTTTATATATTTTATAAGTTTTGTATTTTATCATTTTATCACACATTTTATATCTTTTATATATCAGTTTATATATTTTATCTATTAGATATATTTTTAAAATAATTATATATATTTTAAATAATGACTTCCTGATCCTGTGTGTGTGTGACACTGCAATCATGAGAGCACAGAAAATAGCAGGACACAGAGAGAAAGATCTCCAATTTCCTTTGTCACAGACAAATGCTTTCCTTGCTTTGGGTGCTAAAAAAATCATGGTAAAAATAAATTACAAAAGTGTCACCCTGAAAACTTTCCCTGGGTGTCATTGCCTCCAAAAATCCCTTGACATGACTTATAGGAGGTGTTTTTTTAGGGAAAAAAAAAAGCCTAACTTTCTCTTAGGACAAAGATTAGATTGAAACCTTCAACCCTAGAAGCTCGTGTGTGGCAGATCTGGCTGTCACACAAGTGCCAAGGTTGTCCTGTGTCCCTTTGCTTGCTGATTCTTTTAATAAAACAAACAAAAACTCCTAAAGAACTGTATCAAACATTTATCTCAGACCTGATCACAGTAGTTGCAAATGTTCCTTCATAAATCCAGCAGACACACCCCCAAGAATTCCAAGCCATTTCTTAGCAAGGCAGGGCATTTTTCTGCCTCTCTCATACAGGAGGAGATGTTCAAGAGTGTGTGGGTCTTCTCTGTGGTGTTTTTACTCCTACCTACTCTACTCAAAGATCATTATCTCTCCTTTCCCCACCCCTGGAGTGGCTTCTAAGAGGATGTCAAGTGAGTAGGTGGCAGCCCAAGGGCCAACTTCAGGCAGGAGACCATTCCCTGTCTGTTTTCCACGTCTGTCTGGAGGGACTGTGCCTGTTCCTCTGTTAGAATTTATATTTTTAGGAGGTGTTCAGATCTTTGTTTGGTAGCAGAGCAGAGATACTGTGACATACTACAGTAGTCACACGGTTTCCATAACTGGGAGAGGTTTTATCCTTCTTTTTACATCCCCTGGAATTTGTTTGCTTTAGAGACTGTTGTTGAGAATCCATTAACAGTGTGTGAACTCTCTGAGCAGCATCAGGACAATCTTTTTAGCTGAAGTGATGGTAGTGTGGCATTTATTTTGCATCCCAAATTAGTTCTGTTTCTGCCAAAATTTTGGGATAATTTTGCATTTCTCTCATTCCTCTGAATAAATATAAATGTAAAACTCCATACATGGTAATCATGTATTGTAAACTTTATTAGTAAAGTTTGCTTTCTGTTTTATACTACATAAAGTATAAATTTAAATTCTTCTCTTTGCCTGATGGGTGTTTTAGGGTGTGGACAGGTGTATTTCCTCACTGAGCTGGAAATATTTGCAAATCTCATCCTCTGCATGAATAATTTCCAGTCCTGCAGACTTCAGCATAAACTCTTTAGTCCTGGTTAAAGTTTCCTTTTTATTGCAGTTAACTTGTAGAAGCCTGTTGGGTTACAACAGCTAAACCCTGCACACAGAGCTGGACACAGAGGGCACTCACACAATCACATTAAACAGGGAGGTTTTTTAGGCTTGACAGAAATAATCCAAAATTCCCCCTGTGCTAAGTTTTTTTAATATGCTGCAGAGTAGATTTGTCATGTCTGAGGATGAGTGCAAAAAGTTCTTGTTAGAGAATCAGATATCGATGTTATATTTTATATAATCCCTGCTTTTTAAATAATTTTGGTGGCATCATGGCTTCTCTTTTTCCTTCCCCTCAGATCTGGATCACACAGCAGATGTGCAGTAAGTGTTGGGCAGCTGGGATTTCTCACTGTGATAAACTCATTATTTCTTGCACTGCTCTAAGTCTGGAGTAACTGCCAAAGACTGGTTGCAGTTGTAACACCTTGTGGAACTATGAACTGTCACTCACTGCCTGTGTTGGGGGTAAATTTTGCTTCTGCTTTTGGGACAACACAGCATCATGTTCAGTTCCTTTTCTAATATTCCTCTGGTGCTTCTGACCAAACCTCTGTGTTATTTGGAAATGTCTTTTGAAATCTCATTTTCACCTCTCTTAAACCAGATTTCTTCTGCCTAGTTTGCTTTTGCAGACATCAATTAGCCATAGCAAGGAAGAATTTCCTTGGTGGCCATAAAACACTTATTTTCCATATTCTAAGAAGCTCTTCTCACAAACCCTTCTCTTTCTGGAAAGCAAGTTTTGTTTGTTTGTTTGTTCATTCAGCTCCTCTGCACGAATTCTCCCGTTCTCATTGTTCTGGTTGCTCAGCTGCACGTTGCTTTGGGGTTATTTCTCTTTGTCCCAGTGCAGTTGAGTTGTCCCATGTCCTTTTAGGCTCCATGCCTGGGGAGACACGTTGGAAGAGGCATTTGAGCAGTGTGTCATGGCCATGTTTGGCTACATGACAGATACAGAGACCGTGGAACCCGTGGATACAGTGGAGGTGGAGGCAGAAGGTGAGGCTGTGTTGACTTTTCATGGGGGGAGTTATGAAACCTGAGGGGAAAAAAGGTACCAAAAATCTGAATCTTTACGTGGGCCGGCACTGCAGTTAATTAAAATCTAATTAAACATCACTAATATGAGTCTTCTAATAAGCTGAACATCTGATGTCCTCTTAAAAAGTGTTTGGATGTTCTTGCTGAGGCAACAACTGACATCTCTGCTTCAACCACGCAGGACACGACTTGTTGTCTCTCCTCTTCCACCTCCTGGATGAGTGGCTGTATAAATTCAGTGCTAATGAGTTCTTTGTACCCAGGGTAAGTGTCCTGGTTTGATCCTTTTCCATCTGTAGGTAGGACAAGGTTGTTCCCTGTTAATACCATCTCTGGAAGAAATGGTGTTTTAGGGAAAAAAAAAGGAGCGTGACAAATACAAGTCCAGGCTGGACAGGGATTGGAGCAACCTGGGATAGTGGAAGGTGTCCCTGCCCATGGCAGGGGGTGGCACTGGATGAGCTTTAAGGTCCCTTCCAACCCAAACCACTCCACGATTCTCTGACTCTATTTCAGCACAACATTTGGGGAATTGGAACTCCCAGGGCAGAAAAACTCAAGAAATCCTTAAGCTTTGTTACCACAAACACCAATTGTTAGCTGCTGTTACACGTTCTGCTGCCTTGGTGTTCCAAGTAGCAGTGTATGTCAGGTTCTCTGGTTTTACATTCCACCTAAACAGTGAAATATGAGCCTCACAAGTGGGGCTTGCTGACATTTTCTGCCTGAAGGTGGGAGATGTGACTGAAATATTTCTGCTCTCCCTTTTTCTGCAGGAGGTGAAAGTGCTTCACATCGACCGAATGCAATTCAAAATCAGATCAATTGGGTGAGCTGAAACCATCACCTAAAAAGTGGAGGGTGGTGGGGTTTTTTTTCTTTTTTTGCTGCTTTTGAGTCATTAAATGAAAATCTCACTGCTCCATACTCATCAGTGAAACTAATCATCACATTTGGTAAGCACTACCAAAGTTCCAACCTCTCTTCTTTTTGCTTTTACAGGTGGGGAGAAGAGTTCTCTTTAGGCAAACACCCACAGGTATGCAGTGGTTCCTCTGTCCATCTTTTCCATTTAGGAGGGGGAGGTGTGGTGTCTTTTAAATCAGAGTCCTCCAGGGATCCAAGTACAAACATGACTGGGTGGAATCACAGGCACTAAACTTTTGGATTTATTTTTTTTTTGGGGAATGTGTTCCTGAAGCTGTTGACCCGAGCCTGACTTCTCCTCAGCACTAGCAAAGCTCAACAGTTGGCTTTGGTTTTGTGATGCTGATAACACAGAAAACCAACCATTATTCAGAATGTGCACGTGGGTTTGGGTTTCACACTCTTGGCACAGCCTTTGGCTTAGTCAGTTTTTGCTTCTTTCTTCTTTTTTCCCCCCTAAAGAGCTGCCAGAAGCAAATCCTGATCTCCTGGCAGCTCTTTAGCTGTGTCAGTTTTAGCACAGCACGTGGGGATGGTCTGTCAGAGGCAAGAGGAGGAATTTGTGGCGTTAAGAGACAATAAAATAAGGGAAGAGCTCCTTTTTTTTTTAATAGTATGGCATTTTTCTTATCAGTCAATTTTTTGGGGGGGAGAAGAACTGTGAAACTGGATGGCATTTGAGGGAAGTGGTAAGAACTGTGTGTTAGGAACTGTGACAAAGGATATAATTTAGAAAATCCATGGATTTGTGTTTCTTTTCCAGGGCACAGAGGTCAAAGCCATCACTTACTCAGCGATGCAGATCTGTGAGGATGAAAAGCCAGAAGTCTTTGTCATCATTGATATTTAAAGCAAGAAAAGCGTGGCCAAGTGGATATTATGGGCTGGCAAAAGTCCCCTGAAACTGTAATCCCTGTGGAAGTAACCAAGGAATTGGGCAGTTAAAATCATAAACTGAAGGGAGTAACTGCAGGGAATGTCAGCCAGTGTTTTCATGTGAAGATGGTGAGACAGAGAATAAAAAGAACTAGTTGGGGTTTTGGGGGATGTTGAGAAGAAGAGATCTGAAGGAGTTGGAAATCTCCCAGGAATGCTGCTAGTCAGCTTTTAAGGCTGGTACATATGTATGAAATACAGAAATTAGTGAAGGTCTTAACTAAAATGCTGCCTTTTTGTAGGGTGGCAGGAGAAGATCTTCATCTATGTGATGTCCTTTGCAGATTTCACTACTCTAATTCTGGGCTGACATCCCTCCTCCATTTTATACAAATCCCAAATAGCTGCAGTGGCTCAGATTGAATGTGGAAAAAATTCTGACTGTTGAAAAGACACCTAAAAAAAAATAAAAATTAAACCAATTAAAAAAAACAAACCACCACACCTTTAAAAGTACTTAAAACCAAAAATCATGCCAGCAGGTGGTGCTGAATTGCTGTAAATAAACTTCCACCTGAAATCCTGAAGCATGTGACCGTGTACCTGGAATCCTCACATCACCTCTGATCCCCCTAAAAAGTTGGCAGCTTTGCCAGGAGCTGCACCAGGTTGGAAAGGGGTGCCCCAGGCTCTCTGCAGCTTCACTCCCAGCTGTGTCTTGTGAAAAGAATTCTCTTAATAAAAGCAGATGGTTTGGATCACCCTTTAGAAAGGACAATGAAGACAGTCCCTTAATGTGAAAGGATTGTGGGCTTCACTGAATCAAAATTAATCAAGGATAATGGAAAGTGTGTTTTGTTTTAAATCACAGGTTGGCAAAGGTGTGTTACCTGCCATTGCTATTTAAATGTGGGGAGCACAGGCCTGACCTGTTATTGGGAATGCTTCACATGCCTCAGCTCTGGAGGTAATGTCTTCCCTTGCAAAGTCAGCTTAAATAGATGTGGGTTTTATTTCCATATTGTAAAGACTGAGGGATAAAAACCCCCTCTTATTTTTTAAGCGTGCCAAAATAAAACTGGGACTGAAAGGATCCCTGGATTTGTGTGTGATTTCTGAGCAGCCAGTCCAGACACTTGTACTTTGCTCCCTGCTGAGGTGAGTGGACTCTTTTCTGAGGGCATCAGTGGGGAGGTGGGTGAGGGGCTGAGGGCAGCCTTTCCTTTTGTCCAGCTCTCTAAAAGGCGAGGAAAAAAATTAACAGAGTTAAATTTTAACTTTATAGACCAATGCTGAGATGCCCCGTGTGTCTCTGGCTGCAGCAAACCAGTGAAGTGCTCTGCTTTTTCAAGTGCTGGCAGGAACTTGCTAGAAAAACATTTGGAATGAACTAAGTAAGTGTTACTCATCTGTTTCTTTTTCAGTATTTATTAAGTGCTTGCTGTAAAACAGGCCTCAAATCCGCCTTGTTCCATTTGCAGGGGCAGGTTTTAGCTCACAGTGTTGTTCTCCCAGGGCTTTACAGGAGCCCCATGCCTTGGCTGCAGCCTCTCACCGAGCTGGGGACCCACTGAGACAATTGACTGGGTAATTAAAAATCATGCTCAGCCTGCAAACCCTTCTGGGGGTACCAGAGGATGCTGTTCATGGAGGAAGGTTAGATGAGTTTAAGGGCAGAGTGGTGAAGTAGTTGGAAAAGACCTGCATTGGTGGTTCCTAAAGGTACAAATCCCAAGGCAAGGAAAACCCTTAAACTGAAAAAGGCTGGAGTTTGGGAGAGTTGGGGAATTGTTATGCAGGCTTGCCCCATTCTCCTAGTTTAATGGCAACTCTTGGAGAACCTGGATGTGAATCAATAGGCCTGTTCTCAGATTCCCTGCAGGGAATTTTCCCTTGCTTGGCAGTAACCTCAGGCTACAGATGCTGCTACCAGGAAAGAAAACACGGCACCAGGCGAGACATGAGACCAAAACAGTGGCTCTTTATCAACAGTACCCACTGGGAGTGCCATTCTCTGCTCCCAGGCAGAATGTTTGTGCTGTACACTCCCCCTGAGATGTATTTTTTCTAATCATTTTAGCACTGAGCATTTTCAGTTTCTCTACCAAGTGCAGGTTCTCTGATCCAAATGACTGGGGGGAAAAAACACCGTTAGTAAAAAAGCTGAGGAGGCTCCAGAATTACAAAGGTTGCTTTGCCTCTGAGGGATTTTGTCCTCAGAAACAAATGGTTTTTATGCTGTCAAGCATCCTAAATTTGTATGAGCAGGAAAACCTTTCTTAAAGTAGCTCCATGATCTAAGCCTCAACTGTCCCACTGAAATTAAACTTGGCATCTTTATTCCTAGAATAAGATAGAACAGGAGTTTAAGGAAATCTTGCACCAGTCCTGAAAAAAAAAATAATTAAGGAAAAAAACCTGACAAGTGTACTTCCAGTGATTGCACTTTTATTTCCTTGGAACCACGTTGGTGTATCTTTCTATAAAATTCACAGTACAAAAGAGGCAAAGTCATGCTACCCAAGTGCACTACATATGCTCTGGTCACTACTCTACTCTGGCTGTGAGAATTCTTTAATCATGCTTTTCTCAACTCTAAGAAGCAGTTAAGTTCACTAAAAAAAAAAAAAAAAAAAACAACCACAAAAAACAAAAACCCAAAGCTCTGGTCAATATGTTCTTCAGCAGGAAGAATTCCACTTGTTTCCTTTGCTCCTTTCTTAGGAAGTTTTTGAAGTGTATGTACAAGTTAATTACAATGCCAGCAAAAAGAAAAGGTGTTTCAACGTTTCTTGGCTGCTCACTTCAGTAAGACTTTCTCAAAGCAAGTTTGCAATCTTTGCTTTGTAAAAAATCTGCATCACACAGAACCTTTGTAGAACTGTAGGTTGGTTCCTGCTTTCACTGTGAGCAGGAGCTCAGAGCAAGTCCTTGATGAAATATAAACCAATTCTTCTAAATAGTTTCCAGATAATAAGTGAGGAGATGAACTGTGATGATCCTTGTGGGTCCCTTCCAACTCAGGATATCTTATGATTCTCAGTACTTTCTGGATGACATTTAGAAGCAGTTACACTGTTCCATGTCTGCAAGTACAAAACAACTTGGTTTTAGCCCAAATTTTGCTTCTCAAAATAGAATTTCAGCAACACTTCATTTCAATTCAAGTAGCAAACCAGCATTTAGTCGGTAGGACACGAATACAACGAGTAACAAGTACACAAATATCTACCTAAGATTTGGTTTCACCTTTTCCTCTACCTCATCTGGAACATCATCATTAGTGTGTCGGACAACCAGATTATACGGCTCCTCCTCCGCTGTCTCTTCATCTGATTTCTGCTCCTCCTCCTCCTCCTCCTCCAGAGCCCATTTGGGGCGTTTGTTCCCCGCTGAGGAGGAGACGGGGGAATGTCCTGCATCGAAATCCTCGGGGGTGCTGCTGTCGAAACTGGCTTCTGCCAAGCACTTGTGGCACAGTCTGTAGCGCCGTGTCCCTTGCTGGACCACGCAGCCCGTCAGCTCCGTCACGTGGCGCTTGCACTTCCTGCAGATCAGTTTGCCGGCCTGGTGGATCTGGAGAGGGATCCGAGAGAAAAAAAAAAAAAGGACATTTTTTTTTGTTGTTGTTGTTAGAAGGTGGAAATGGAACCATGCCAAAAAAAAAACCCCAAACCAACAAAAAACCAAACAAAAAAACAACGAAATTTTAAATACGATCTGCCAAGTTAAATAATGAATAATTAAGGTCAACGCCGCATGAGAGGAGCCCCAAAGAAAAGGTACAAGGACTCCCTGAAACAACATCTCAGCCTTGGCCATATTGATCAGCATAACTGGTCTACTCTGGCCTCAAATCGAGAGGCCTGGAGGAGACACACCATCTATAATGCAGCTGTCTCCTTTGAGAACACACGCAGGATCACTCTCGAGGAGAAAAGGTAACGCAGAAAGAACCGTGTCTTGCAGAATACACCACCTAAAGAGTCTTTCTGCTGTGCCTTTTGCAATTGGATATGTTTATCTCGGCCCCATAAGCCACCAGCGTGCCCGTAACAAATGCCCATAGAGCCTTCCTAAATCTTCATTCACGAAGCCCAGCCATGAAAACTGAAAAACGAAGGTCAACAATGTGCAGCTTCCAGGAAGCTTTTGGGATGCCGGCGCTGGAAACGCCCGGGCGGCTCCCCGTACCGGCGGACCCTCCGTGGGTTGATTTCCTGGGATACATCCCAGCGGGAAGGCCGTGCCCGTACCGTTTGGAAGTGGTTGCGCAGGTGCTCCAGGCGGGTGAACCTCTTGCCGCAGGCCTCGCAGGGGTACGGCCGCTCCCCGGTGTGGCACCGCAGGTGCCGCTTCAGGTCCGCGCGGCGCTTGACGGTGTGAGTGCAGAACGGGCACTTGAAGCGCATGCGGGGCAGGTCACCTGCCAAGGGGGGGGCACAGGGGAGGGCTGTCAGCTCGGAAAGGGGCAGTTCCTGCTCCGTCAGCAAATAGGGAAAACCCCCAAATATTTTATATAAACGTATTGTGTGTTAACTTGGGTGGTTGGGACACGGTGCTGACAGTGCCAAGGCTGTGGGTTCCATCCCCACCCCACACAGGCCACTGATGACCCTTCTGGGTCCCTTCCCACTCAGAATATTCTGTGACACTATATAATATCATCATCATCATCATCAATATATAATATATGAAATACAATCTACAAATATGTAAAATAGAATATATAATACATGAAATGCAATCTACAACTATGTAAAATATGGGCTTTGGGGGTATATACACGTGTATATACACGTGTATGTACATATATAAAATGTATTTCATCTATAAAATGCATTTCATCTAAAAAATGCATTTCATGTAAAAATGCATTTCATCCGTAAAATTTATTTCATCCATAAAATTTATTTCATCTCTAAAATTTATTTCATCTCTAAAATGTATCTCACCTCTAAAATTTATTTCATCTCTTAAATATTATTTCATCTCTAAAATGTATTTAATCTATAAAATATATGAAATGGATAAAATACGTGAAATAGACAAAATACCTGAAATATATAAAATATATTTAATATGTAAAATATATCTGTCCCCCCCGCCCAAGCCTGTACTTCTCACTGAGCATGTTAAATGGCCATTTTAAAGTGTTTTCTTTCTTACTGGGGGTATTTTTTAGACATACAGATGATCATAAATATGTAGCTATAATATATATTTGTACTGTCTGAACCATTAGCTTTTCCATCACCTAATGGTTCACAGCTTTGACATTTATAATCTCTGTTTAATATATGAGGGTGCCTAAAGTCTTCAGAATATGCCATTACAATATGAATAATATGTTCATTTCCTAAAGAATACACATGAGAACAGACCTGTCAGCTTTATCCCACCCTCTCAGGCAGATGCTGACAGCCCATCAGGAGCTTGGATGCTTTATATTTGTGGCCAAACAGCCACAAAGTTTGGGATGACTGAACCCCAAGGGAAATGCAACATCCCAGCAGAGCCAGAACCTCTCATGTGAAGGAATTGAGTTGGATTGAGGTTGAACTATTAGTGCCAGGTTTGGGGATCTACAAGAGAAATTCAGTCCTTCTGTCCCCAAGTCAGTTACAGCTCTTGAGGCTTCATTAAATTCCACTTGGGCCCGAATAATCAGGCATGTTTTGTTTCAACTTTACAAGAATACCTGGGTAACACCCTCCCATCCCACTTCCCATGCCCTGTTCTGGCTGAGTAGATAAATTCACCTCTAAGTCTAGGCACTATTTTGGTTTCCATGCAGCCCTACAAACTCTCTCCAAAACATCACCCGAATCCTCCTAGACAAAGCCAAAACTTTTCCAAACCGTTCCTCTTTTTTTTTTTTTACCTTCGTTCCAACTACTCATTACACCCAAAATTGTGGGCATCGAGGTGTACAGTTCTTCTGCCTTTAACTCCACAAACTCGGGAGTTCTGGAAAGTTCTTGCTCTAGCTGGGTAACAGACCATCTCTTGGGTGCCGCCTCCGAGCCGCGGTGACACCCGTAATCATCTCCACCCACGTCGTTCTCTGCATCGAACTCGGCCTCCTCCCCGACCCTGGAGATGGGGCTGCAATCCGAGGCGCCGGCTCTGTCCGGTTTGCCCTGTCCCAAATCCCGGCTCTGGGACAGGCCCAGGTGCTTCCGGCGCTTCCTCCCCGAGCCCTGTTTTCTGCCTCTTTTCGACAGCTGGGTCTCTGCCCGCTGCAGAATCACCTGCGAGGACAGGTAGCTGCCGTAGCCGCTCCAGGAGTTTTCGTTCACGCCGGGCTTTTCATCCGGGATGGAGTAGGAACGCCGGGGGTTGCTCTTTGCTTTCCTCCTGGAGCGATAAAGGGCGGGACGGGCAGGCTCAGTGCTCGTGCTTTTGGCCGAGAGGCTGAGGTAATGATCCTTCTCCTTTTCATTAATATCCAGGGAGGACTTGATGAAGGTCTTGCAGACATTGAGAATATCTGTCATCTGCAGGTAGCTGGCAGCTGACATCACCTCGATGACATTCTGACCGGTTAAAGACAATATCCCTGAATACACAAAGTCCAGGATAACCATGAACGTCTCTGGAGAGAAGACCTCGAACGTAGCTATTGTTGGCCCACTCGTCTCCTTCGAGCTCTGTGAAAGGAGCATTTTGAAGTAGCCGCTGCTGGCAAACAGCACATTGCGATGGGCTTTGAAGACCTTTCCCTCCACCAGGATGTTGCAGTCGCAGAACAAGTCCTGCTTCCGCTGTTCGTTCAGCTGCTCCAGGAGGTGAGACTGGTGAGAAGAAATCTCCATCCCAGGCAAGGGAGCAAGAGGAGGGTTTGCTGTAAAGGAAAAAAAAAAAACCATCATCGTGACAATCTGCATCGGCGTTGCCGAACCCTTATCTAAAGAGACGAGCCCCAATTCGAAAAATGTTATCACGTTTCCCAAACGTGTCTCCCAAGCCCCTGCGGCTGCTACAGGAACATGAGAGAAGAAACTTCACTCTAGAAGAGGCGCCAGCGGGGATTCACTTAGTATCCCGAAAGAACGGAGATCCCATCCGCCAAGGCGTTCATGGGAGAGCGCTCGGCCCTCCCGCCCTGGGCAGAGCCGCAGCCCCTGCCCGGCTCACCGGGGGCCGGTGGAGCCGGTCCCTCCGTCCCCCCCGGGGATGCCCGACGGCGCCCGAGCCGCTCCCCATCCCCATCCCCGGCACGGACCCGCCGCCCTTTGTTGCCGCGCCCGGGGCTGCAAATGGCGCCCGGCGGGGACGGGGGGGGACGCGGCAGCCCCGGCGGGCACCGAGCGGC